AGAGAAAGCATGAGCTGGGGGAGAGGCAGATGGAGAGGGAGAGGCAGACTCCCCGCTGAGCAGGGTGCCCGATGCCAGGCTCCATCCCAGGACCCCGGGATCATGACCTGAGCCAAAGGCAGACGCTTAACTGGCTGAGCCACCCAGATGCCCCAGGAGGGAGAGAATCTTAGCAGGCTCCATGCTCCACGCCCAGCATCCAGCGCAGAGCCTTGAGATGCGGGGCTCGACTCACAACCCTGAGATCATGACCTGATCCGAAATCAAGAGTTGGACGCTTAACTGACTGAGCCACCCAGGTGCCCCTCAGCCAAGTTCTCTTAAAGAACAGATGACTCTCAGTCTTTCTAAGCCTCCAATTGCCATTCACTTGTAGCCCCCTGAGGTTAGGCCTCTATCCCATGTTGCACTAAACCTACTCAGGTAAGCATCACCTTGAAGCATCAGGCTTCAAGTCCTCAAATCCTAGACATTCTTTGTTTCTCATCTTACCTGACCCTTTCTCAACATTAGAAACCACTGATCTCTTGAAACCCTGGGTGTCGTATGCAACTGATGAATCACTGAACTCTATCTTTGAAACTAGTAACACGCTATATGTTAATTAACTGAATTTAAATAAACAAAACAAAACAAAAACCTGCCTGCTTAGAACCCTGCCAAGAAAACTGGAGAAAAGTACATTTCCAAGTATACTTCCACATCTGCCTATCTCTCCAACATGACCTGTCCGCCCCGCCACCAGCCCCCTTCACCCCACGCCCTCGGGATGTGCTGCCATATGCCGCTCACACTTCCCCTAAATGCCAGGCAATTTTACCTCAGCATCTTGCTCATACTGCTCTCTCTGCTGAGAAAGACCTCCCGCTTTCCCTTGCCCCACATCGGCCTATCTGGGGGACCTTCTTTGATCTTCCAAGAGTCAGCTGTAGCAAGTTCCAAGAGAGCTTTCCCACATCCTCAGCTCGTCCCTGCAGAGTTGAGACATCCATACCCTCCTGAGTGCCCCCACTGACCCTTTACTGGTGTGTGTTGTAGCATATACAACATGTTGTTGCCTTTTTTTTTTTTTTTTTAGGGATGGGGAGAGAAGGGGACAGGCAGAGGGAGAGGGAGGGAGAGAGAGGGAGAGTCTTAAGCAGGCTCCATGCACAGCGCAGGGCCTGATGCGGGGCTTGATCTCAGAACTCTGAGATCATGACCTGAGCTGAAATCAGGAGTCAGCCACTTAACCGACTGAGCCACCCAGGTGCCCCTATTGTTGCCTTTTTAAAAATGCTTGTCTCTACTATTGTAAGTTCCATGAGGGCAAGGACCATGACTTATCTATGTTTACATGGTGCACCTGGTATACCATAGGTGCTCCACGCATGCTTATAGAATGGGTGAATGAAGATGAGCTATTGCCTTCTTGAGGTTAATGAGCCTGCTGTTCACCAAGGCGAACTGTGCCAGATCCCCTAAGACGACAATGTCTTGGTGCCTTGTGACTAAGATGGCCGCTGTAACACTGGATGGTCTAGTCAGTGGAGCCCAGGGAGTAAGCTCTGTGGAATCCCATGACAAAGGGACAGAGCAGGGCAGAGAGGAAGTTTATAGATTGTGATGTGGGTCCAGTCCTAAGAGAAAGGAGGTTTATAGAAATGGACACTTTGCTGAAGCCTTCAGGGATGGTCAGAGAGCTAAGCTGTGGGCGGGACACAGATAGATTGGGCTCGGTAGGGCTCAGCTCAGGATCTACAAGGGAAGGTAGGCACATCACATAGGAGGATGTGAGAGGATGTGCCAAACTCTCAGGAATAGGATGTGAGGCTATAACCAAGCCCTCCCACACCCCATCCAGTCTAATTTCCCCACCTTCGGCTGGCTCCCGGAGACCAGTCCCTGGGAAAGCATGAGATGCTATGATGTTGAAGGAACACAGGAACCAGCAGGCTATGCCTTCAACACTTAATTATACGTGAGCTTGGGCAAGTTGCTTACCTTCTTTAGGTCTCAACTGCCTCACCTGTAAATTGCACACACACCGACATGCCTCAACCACTTCACAGGATTGCAGTAAAGGTCAAATCGTCATCATAATAATAGCTATTCTTTTTATATCACTTCCTATGTGTCAGAGGCTGTGCTAAGTGCTTCACATATGATATCCTCACAACATCTCTGTGAGATAGAACTATTTTTTTATTTTTTAAAGATTTTATTTATCTATCTGACAGAGAGAGACACAGTGAGAGAGGGAACACAAGCAAGGGGAGTGGGAGAGGGAGAAGCAGGCTTCCCGCCGAGCAGGGAGCCCGATGCGGGGCGTGATCCCAGGACCCTGGGATCATGACCTGAGCCGAAGGCAGACACTTAATGACTGAGCCACCCAGGCGGCCCTAGAACTATTTTTTTTTTAAGATTTATTTACTTTAGAGAGAGAGAGCACTAGGGGAGGGGGAGAGGGAGATGGAGAGAGAGAGAATTTTAAGCAGACTCCCTGCTGAGCTTGGAGCCTGGCATAGGCTGATCATGACCCCAGCCGAAACCAAGAGTCGGATGCTTAACACACTGAGCCACCCGGGCGCCCTGAGATAGAACTATTATCAGCTCCATTTTACAGATGAGTGAATCGAGGTTTAGGGACGTAGAATACCTTGCCCAGAGTCAAATGTTATCAAGTGAGACAGTGGAGCTGGCTTTTGGGTTGTTGACCCAGTGTTCTGGTTCCCCAGGCTGTATATTCAGGTGTGTAGCTGACCTTGCACTCTAGGAGTAAAGCAACCACAGGTTGCTTCTGGATCTGCAGACGCAGTGGCCGCACGGAAACAGGTTTAGGGGAAGAACAGTTCCTTCTCCTTGGCCTCAGCAATGTGCTCCTGAGGGGTCAGCTTTCTCTTCCCAACCACAGGGGTTGGTGAATGTAACTGTATTGAATAGTGTCTCCCCTGAATTCATGTCCACCCAGAACCTATGCATGTGATATTATTTAGAAATAGGATCTTTGCAGATATAATCAAGTTAAAATTACTTGAACTCATAGTGGATTAGGGTTGGCCCTGATTCAGTTACTGGTGTCTTTATAGGAAGAGAGAAATTTGGACACAGAGATATGCAGAGAAAAGATGGCCATATGAAGATGGAGGCAGAGAATGAAATTATGCTTCCACAAGCCAGGGAACACCAAGGATTCTGGGAACCACCAGAAGCCAGAAGAGACAAGGAAGGATTCTTCCCTAGAGGCTTGAGAGAGAGCATGGGCCTGCTGACACTCTGGTTTCAGATTTCTAGCCTCCAGAACTGTGAGAGAATAAATTTCTGTTATTTTAAGCCACCCAGTTTGTGGTACTTTGTTAAGGCAGCCCTAGGAAACTAACACAGTAACCCAGCGCTGTGCACATCACAGCTGGGCGCCCTAAGTATGGGTGGAGCAGAGTTTGAGAGACCAGTTAGATGGACTGGGGTGTGTGTGCCCATTTTGGGGTGATGAGGGAGAGCAGTATAAAAATAAGGTGTTTACTCATCCAGCTACTGGCCAACTCCTAGACAGCGTCTCTGCGTGACTTTGCACGTGTGTGTTTGTGTGTGAGTTGTATCTGGGGTGTGTGGCTGCAGTCTTGTTTTTTTTTTTTCTGGATGTGAGGATGGGTGTTCTTCCTTGGTAGCAACTTATAAGACGAGGATTGCCTTTGGGAAACGTTGCCCCCCACCTCCAGTCATCCTCTCCACCCCTAGATCTTGGATGATGATGCACTGTACTTAGAGAGGTTAAGAAACTTGCCCAAGTTTTCATGCCAGTTAGTAAGAAAAGGAAAATTCAGATCCAAAACTCTGGTTCCAAAGACCCTGCCCTCTTCAAGAGCTCAAACTATTTCTCAAGCTAAAGAAAGCAAACTCTTTTCAAAAAGATATGGGCGATTCAGTTAACCTTCTTTAAGTACTTTTTTTCTAAATTTGAAAGTAACACTTGTTTATTTGTAAAATATTTAGAAAACATTGAAGTGTTTCAAGAAAAAGTAAAAAAATGTATATATCCTGGCAATAACTACTGCTGATATTGGGCAATTCCTTTCCAGTCTTTTCCCCATACAGTTATATATTATCAACAAAATTAGAATAATACTGCAAATAGTTTGGTATTTTGCTTGCTCATTTAACATTATCTCACAAACATCTTACCTTATTGGTTTTTATAAATATAATTTGTAATTACTAAGTAATGCTCCATCACATGGATGGGCCATCATTTACTGCATAAGTGTCCAGCTTTTTATAATGATAAACATGCAACTGTTAACATTTTTCATACATATTGGTCCTCATCTCTATTATTTCTTGAAGACAGATAAGGAATAATACCAGCCCATGGGTATGGATATTTTAAGGCGTTTGATATATAATGTCAAACTGTTTACCAAAAGGGTTCTACCTCCCAGCAGAATGGGAGTGCCTCCCGCAGCACCCTCACCAAGACTGAGCGCTAGCATTGAAAACCTGGCTCTGTTCTGCAAAGGGGCACCCCAGGATGCGCTCACTCAGGTTGCCTGCGTCCAGCGGACCGCAGGCGGCCGCGCGGGACAGGGAGGCGGGTTACGAGGACCCGGCGGGACGTGAGACGTGATGGGGGCTCGAGACGAGGCAGTGGGGATGGAGGGAACAGAACACACGCACGCGACCAGTAGAACATTCGATGCGGAGGAGGGGGTGGGTGCTGATAACTGTGCGCCGGGCGGGGTGCAGGCCAGGGTGGAGGCCGCGTGTCAGACTCGGGCCTCTCCGCGGAGCGCTCGGCACCCACCCGTGAGGTGGCCGAGGCGCGAGCCCCTCCCACCCCTTTAACAGGGACACTCCCCTTTAAGGCGGGCGCCCGCGCGCACCCGGCCCCGCCCTTCGGGGGCGCGCGCGGCGGCCGCGGCGCCGGCTCGGCCGGGAGCGCACGTGCCGGCGCCGGGCGGAGGAGAGGGAGGCGGGAGCCGGGCCGAGGGAGGAGGGGAGGCGCCGGGGGCGCGCGCGCGCGCGCTGGGCGCTGCTGGGCTGCGGCGGCGGCGGCGGCGGCGGCGGCGGCGGTTACTATGGCGGAGTCGGCCGGAGCCTCCTCCTTCTTCCCCCTTGTAGTCCTCCTGCTCGCCGGCAGCTGCGGGTCCGGGCCCCGGGGGATCCAGGGTGAGTCCCGGGCCGGGGGGCGGGGGCCGGGATGGAGAGGGCCGGGCGAGGGCGAGGCCTCGCGCCGCGGCCCCTGGCTACAGCGCGCCCCCTCCCCACGCGCACAATATGGCCGGGTGGGGGGCGCGGAGGAGTCGGGGTGACCGTGGTCGGTGTCCCCAGACTTCCGAGGCGCAGCTGCCCAGCTGGGACCGAGCTCACGCAGGGCCCCTGGGGACCCGAGCCCTCTTCCAGGCGGAACTGGATTCGGGGAGCTCTCAGGGTCGCGCTCCCAGCACCCCCTTGTTCTATAGAGGGGAGGGCAGGCTCCCTTCCCCGAGATTTGGAGGTCCGTGCTTCTGCCTCTCAGCATGTCCAGGGGCGGGGGTCTTCATTCCCTCCCTCCAGATGCTCTTGGGGGGCGCCTTTTCTCCCGCCAAGATTAAGGGGCTCAGGCGATGGGTCTTTGCTTCTCCGAGGTATCCTGATGTGGCGAGCCCTTGCGCACCTCAGATGACAGGGGAAGGGGTCTCTAACCTTTCCTTCAGGACCTGCACTTGGTGTGTCTCTTCCCTTCCCTCTGCTTCCTCCCTATGTTCTGGGAAAGGGAGTCACATTTCCCCTACGTGCAGCCCCCTTGAGTTCAGGGGGGCAAAACCCCCCCACATACACATGCCCTGTGGAAGCTGTTTGGAGGAAGGGAGACCAACAGGCCCCTAAACGTTTTGGAGCTTGGCTTTGAAATCTCTCTAACCCTAGGAAACCTGGTTCCAGAACGGTTAATCTGCATCTAGGTGTATTTGCTTTCCACCTCGCTTCCCCCACCCCACCCCAGGGGGCCCATTCAGTTAATCACTTTGTGGATGCCTTTCAGGTGAAATCCTAGAACCTCCCTCCAACCCCCAAGATTATTTAAAGATCCCACCACTGGACCGACTCCCCGGCCCTTGGTCAGTACTTATTTACCTTCCCACACAATCCCTTTTCCCAGCCCTGCCCCCCACGCACTCCCCCACCCTCACACACCCCTTACCTTCCAACCCCCACAGCCTTCTGCTCCCTGACACCACCCCCACCCTTCTCAGTATAGAGGTGGGTACCTTTCTGTGGGACACTCGACTGGGTGTGTTGTTTATGAGGCTTTGGGGGCTAAGAAGAGCAGATGAAACCCTAAAATATTTAATTTAAGAGACTCGTCTGAAATGTGTTTTGGCATTGGGGTAGCAGATGAAGGTTATATTTGGCAGTTATATTAAAGTGATTATTGACCCACAGATGGATCTGGGAGAGACGATGAGGATTGTATTCGATCCCCGATGTACAAACCCTGGGCTTTGACTTCTCAGCAGCCCTTAACCTTCCAGCTATGGGAGATCAAGTGTGTGTTCTGTGGCTCTCCTCTCTACTAAAAATAATGATTCTCAGGTGGGTTCAGGCTTCTTTAATAAACCAGACAAACAAGAAAAGACATCATCCTACTTTGGAGTCTCAAAAACAAGTTCATTATCTCTAGCTTTGATATTTGTTCCCAGTGGTGTAGTCTGTGCAGTGGGGTCTTTGTTCACTGGCTAATGCTTCTGTTAAGCACCTCGTGTGTGTTCCTGGGTCTCGCTGCTCTGTGCATGGGTAATATGCCATGGGGTCTGATAAACACGATGAAGGTCTACGAACATGGGCTGACAGTTGTAAGATAATGGTTTTTGTGAATAATGTTCGCTGGGCATTGTTATGGGCCATGTTTTTGGATGTGTAACATAATGTTATTTCTCTAGTAGGATAGTAAATAAGGAGACTCAGCCATCAGGTTTGTCATTTTGTATGTGTCTGAATAAATCTTTGCATTCTTTCCATAAAATTTTTTATACTGTCCCTAATATAGTTAAGATTTTTAACAGCCATTTCCCTGTTGATTTGGTGTAGTGTCTGTGGGGTTTTTCTTGTGGTGAGCCTAGTTAAAAATGTTTAATTGGTAATCCAGCTGGTTCTGAATAGGGCAGAGTTCATTTTTTGTAACCTTCCTAAAATGGATGTTTGTTAGGGTGAGGATGGGTGGGCATAATAGGGAGTTAGTTTCTTTTTTTGGTAAATTGGAAATTAGGTTGTGTGTCCAGCAAACATTCTCGAAGGCCTTTAAACTTCTTGGCCAGACACTACAGTTTTTTCCGGGACACATGTAGTTGCCAATAGTGCATGCTACAGAGACCACTGTTGCAAGAGGCTTAAAGTAAAACGTCAGTTCTGGGAAAATAGAGGCTGTGGGATTAACAAGAAGTTGATTGCTTTCCTCCCCTGCACTACCTCTGTGTGTTCCCCTAGGTGAGCTGGAGGAGTGGCTGAGCCAGGCAGCCCTGATGGCTGGTACTTGGACATGACATGAGGGCAGCAAGGGATAGGTGTTCTATTAGTGCATTAACTGCGACTTAGTAAAAGGCCAGTGACAAGGAGAATGAGTTCCAGGTTATAAGCAGCATCCGCTTGATAGGTGTAGCAGGTTTGAAGGCCTCACTTTGGAATTTTCACATCAGTATTTTAAAATGTAAACTTGCATTAGTAAAGGGAGAACATGACATAAATTTCTTAAGACAAAAGCAACAAGGGAGACGTTTGAGGTTCTGATAGGAACATTTTGGATTTCTGTGAACAGACTTAAAAATCTAATTTCAGGCCAAGTCTTGTAATTTTGTTGAGTGCACATGGATTTGAAGTACAGTGAAAGTGAACTCTTGTAGAGAAAAAGAGAATCTCTGGTTGATTTTGTTAAAAGAGCTCCTGGAACAGATGTGATTAAAACATATTAAATGGCTACTCTGGTTAAAGGTTGGAGCCAGATGGAGGGAGGAGGCCAGATCTCAGCCCCAGAACTTTGCTCCCTTACAGGTTGTCCTTGAACAAGTCACTTGCTTAACCTTTCTGTGACTGCCTCAGTTTTCTCTCTGTAAAGTAAGGAAACAGCCCATGTAGTTCTTATTGGGACATTTGTGAGACTAACTTACTGATAGCCAGTTGGCTGGGAGGTATTTTTAGACACAGTTTCTGACTTCAGGGAACAAGCAATGTTGGGTTACTTTTTATCTTATGGAGCAGAGTAACATACTCTTGGGATTGATAGAAGCACCACAGGCCACAGCGTGGTTAATTTCTTCTGATTTGTGCTTTTTTTTTTTTTTTTTTTTTTGTAGACTATTTCAGATTTCCTCAAGTTAATTTCTGTCTTTTGACAGGCTCTTACATCGTAGACCGGGCAGCGTACCTGTGCTAATCAAAGACAGTTTGAAGGGAGTGACCTGCTTTAGGCTTTATTGGTTTGGCAACGTTTTAATTCTTACGCAACTCTGGGTATGTTTATGGCACTATGTAAATGTTACATAAGAACATGGAGGCTGAGAAGGGGCTGGAATGGTGCCTGTGAACACAGGAAGGTTAGACTGAGGACTTCATCCGAAAGGACCTTGGGAAGCTGCAATCAGCACAGGAAGAAGCTGCACTTCATTTTCCTCTAAAAACCTTTTTAGATGATTGTGTCTTTCAGGTGGACTGCTGTGTTATAAATAGGTTTATTCTCCACTGGTGAGCTAATTGTAACCTTGCTACCAAAATATGAATCAGTAAACGAGGAGACGAGGAGCCGTGCTGCTTCTTTCGGCATGTCCTGTCGAAGCTGCTTGTTGCATTTTGGAACATGAGTTGAGTTGCGTTGCAGTCTGCTCTCATAACTCAGGAGTACAGGGTGTTGAGGTGGAATGGAATTCTCAGTTCATGGTGCTTTAGATCTTCTTTATTTTTGAAGGTTAAATTAGAATACTGAAGTGGCTCTTTTGTTTTAATTTTGAAATCCTTATTGTTTACTGTTCAAGTTTTGCCCAGAGCAGCAGTGAACAGTAATTCTGGAATCCCGCCTCTTTGTCTTGTGTTATTTGTCTGTTACAGTAGGAGTTGATGTAAGAGGGTCTTAGCTCATTTTCCTCTCTGTGTTTATAAAAAGAAAATCCTAGAGCCCTCTTTCTCATCCATCCCTCTGATGCTGGAAGTGCTGCTGGCATCCGTGGCCCATCAGTTCCGCCTGGGCTGGGAATGCTGAGGCCTCTGAAGGAATTGGCTCCTCAGACCCGCAGTCTCCGCTGCATTTCTGCCCCTCTGTAGGCTCCGCCTCGTGGCCAGGTTCCAATACCTACCTGCCTGCCTGCTCCGGGTTTTTGCTCTCCTCAGTGTCTCTCGCACATGTGGTTTGACCTGAGCTTGGGCTCCTGGAGGCACCATCCCTGCTCTTGCCTATTCTCTCTGCCTGCTGGCTTCTCCATCAAGGACACCTGTAACACCAAGCAGAAATACTGTTTCAGAGTGTATCTCTCTTTCCCTTGCTTGGTAGAGCTGCCAGCATTTGGTTGAGCCATGGCATTTGCATCCCAGACAATCTGACCTGCTCTCTGGGTTTCAGAGACAGTGACACCTCAGGGAGCTCTGGGGTTCTTTTTGGTTTTCTTTCTTCTCTCTCCACTTCATCCTAAGCCTGCGTTTGTCTTACTAAATATTTTGAATTTAACATAATGAAAGTAACTGCCCTTCCCTTTAAAGTGTCAATCACCCCTGATATTTACACAATTACATATGGGAGATTTCTTTATTCGTTAGGTTGGGTATGTGCCTGGAATGGTTCTTGGCTTGGGGAAATAACCCTGAGAGAACAAGATGGACAAAAATCCCTAAGTACCTAACTGTCACAGAACTTACAATAGCAGTGGCTCAGACTGAAGATAAATAAGTAAACACAATTCTCAGTCTTAAGTGCTCTGGGGAAAATAAAACATAATGATGTGCTAGAGTGTGCTGAGAGCTACCTTTTCACATCTCTCTCAACTTCATTGTTTCATCTGTAAAATGAGGCTAATACAGTCAAGTGTCATTATTCGTGGTACTTATGTTCTATAAAGTCGACTGGAACACTGGATTAGCAAATACTGAACCACTGCTCCTAGGGGAAAGATGGGGTTAGGTTCCTGTGAGCCACTGGTCACCACCTCTTCATCGACCAGTCAGTACATAACCTTGCTATGTGTGTGTTTCTGGTTAAAGACACCTTATTTAATATACATTGGTTAATTAACCTTGGACTTAAGGCCAGCAGCACTATAATGAAAGCCTGAACGACACTTACCTGATAGACGTATTTTCTCTGCAAGGTACATCACTGTCTCCTTGAGCTTGGGAACACTGGAGAGCATTTTAGCGCTGCTCTTGGGGGCCATTTTAAACAGCGAAATCCCCACCACCAACACGAAAATGCAAAAAGGTGAAAAGGCACAGAATATACTATGAAAAGAATTCATATTTACAGTATGAAAGCTGAAACAGGAAGGCAGAGCATTGTCACCTTGTTCACCATCAACTGGGGACATGTCATTGGGTGATTCCCATTTTTTACCACTGCACATGTCTGTGAATGACCGTGAAAGCACTGAGAGTATTGATTTTGGGGTTACAGATAAATTTTAATGAATATGGAATCTATGAAAAATGAGGATCACCTGTATTTTGTTAAAGCCATACACAGATCATTGTGGCAGAGATAAAATTATATGGAATTCCAAGGATTCCTAAATGGTTTCACTGAACCAGAATTTGAATATAGAGAGAAGTCCCATTTCCAGTCTGTAAATATATAGTTATCTGAAGTAAATATATATAGATATCTATATATAGTGATCTATATATATAGTGATATATAGATATGTAGTGATCTAAGTAAATGTATAGTGATCTGAAGATTCCTTTAACACATATTTATTGAGCACCTAGGTTCTAGAGATACAACAGTAAGCAAAAAGACATACAAATGCCTTCCTTTGGGGCGCCTGGGTGGCTCAGTCATTAAGCGTCTGCCTTCGGCTCAGGTCATGATCCCAGGGTCCTGGGATCGAGCCCCGCATCGGGCTCCCTGCTCGGTGGGAAGCCTGCTTCTCCCTCTCCCACTCCCCCTGCTTGTGTTCCCTGTCTCGCTGTGTCTCTCTCTGTCAAATAAATAAAATTTTTAAAAACAAAACGAAACAAAAAAAAGCCTTCCTTCATGAAGCTTACTTTCTGGCAGGTGAGATAGACAATAAATAAAATATAAGGTGATTCTTCCTACCACAGTCCACCCTCTGCCTCCTCCCCCCAAGATTTCCTGCCTTTGGAATATACCACCTTCCAGTTATTAAACACGAATCTAGGTACGCCTTGGAGGGATTATGCAGATGTGATTAAGGTCCCAAATCAGTTGATCTTCAGCTAAGGGGACTGTTGTGATAGACCTGACCTGACTGTGCTAGCCCTATGAAAGCAGTTTTCACAGCTGATTGCGGAAGAAGAAGTCAGAAATGCTCCAGCTGGTTTGGAGGAAAGTAAATATCCGTGTGTGAACTGCCCATGGGGGCCACGTGGCTAGGAAC